CCAGTTCAAGTTATATATATGAACACACTTTCTTTTTATTTTCTGCTTTCTAAACTTGCATACAAGAGTGGTATTAAATTCAAATTTAAGTACTGAAAAAATACAAAAAGTATTATATGTCTATGAATTATGAGCTTTTAACTTATTATATTAATAACTAATGCATGCTTTAAAAATCTACGAACGAAACAATACCTTCTTCATGAGATTGAAGAATTTAATTATAAATTGGTATAATTAGAATATAAGAACAATACTTTTCTCCCCTCTAATCAGAACATGAATTGCATGTAACCTAAAGAACAAGAAAATCTGCAAAACGTACCCAAATTCTTGAATGTGAGTTTTTTTTATTGTTCAAATCCCAAATACTGCTTTAGGATTCCTATGGAATTATATTTGAGGCCTGTAGATGTAAAACAGAGCCGGATGAAAGATAAATAATGTATTTTTGATTACTACATAAACAAACCCAAAAAAACAAAAATCTATAAATAAGGATAGATATTGCAAATCAAATACATGAAAGAGAGGAAGAGAGTTTAATTTGTAGTAATATTTCAATACAAAATTTAAATATAAAATCGAATGAACATGCATGTGTAATATTTCTAGATAGACATTAAAAAAAAAATTTATTCAGAAGAAGGTTTCTCTGTTAGAAGATGAAAAAAGCTTCATACAATAAATTTGAAAAAGAGAGAAAAACATTAAACCAAAGAATTGTGTGAGAAAATGTTGGATTCCTCACCAGAAATATGAAATTGGCCTTTAAATTTCATAGCAAAATTGAAAATTTAGTCTAGAGTCATGTTAGGTGGTAAAACAATTAGATCCCAAATTCCCACCTATTTATATGTATCTAAAGGTTAATTTATTAATAGTTAATTTACAACTCTAAGAAAATATAACATAAGAAAATGGATGCAAAGTAAGTAGGTTACATTAAGTTAATTAATTGCAAACCCAAAACTCAACGGTAATGACATACGGTAACATTTTTCCCCATAATAAAATTTATTCTAGATTGTTACAATTCAAAGTTGTGTTAATTAATTAGTAATCTCAACAACAACAAAAATTAGGAGATTTTCTGTCAGAAGTGCATTGATAGCATTCCCAACTAATAATTTGCACCTCAATACAAATAGCAAACAGTTTAGCTCTGATCGATTCTCCGCACATATTTTAACCAAATTATGTTTTATGATCTCCAACCAGATATGAACAAACATCTTAAAAATCAAAATGCTCAAGGCTAAGTTACAATTTACAAGATACATTAATATGAATATGAACTAAGATTTACACGAAACTTACTTTTGGCATTATCAAAAAAATGAAAGAAAAAAAAAACTTACTTTATAGCTTCTTCCTCTCCTTTCATTCACACAATTACTTCAATTTTGAGTAAATTTTTGTTGTTGTTATTGTCAACAAGTTCATTTCTTTTTAACTTGATTTTTTCCCCCATAGTTTTGGTAATCCTGTCAATCCTACTATGGACAACTAATATTGTCATCCTACTATGGACAACTAATATTGTCCATTAAATGGAATTAAATTCAATGCATATTTCTTTCTTTCTTTTTTGGTCTAATTCAATGCAAAACTCATTTTGACTAACTCAATTTCTTTCCTATAAAATGATTTTTCCATTGACCAAAAATTCAATGCAAAGGTGTTTGAGCCTAAATTTCAGTCTTTGGACTTTTCCAAAATAGTGATAATTGTTTACTAAAATTTGTTTTGTGGTATTTTAGGATATTTATTGAAAATGTTTTAGTTTTAGTTTTTTTGACAAGCAATTTAAATCACTATAGAGAAATGGTCTTATTCCATTATTTCAACTTTGTATAGACACAACATACAACAAAGTAAAGTGATAATATATGCAAGAAACAATAAGAAGACACTGAAACTTAACTCAACCTTAGATTAACAGAAAGCTATTTTTATTATCTATCTAATTATATTACAAGAGTCTCCATGATTTTTGGTTGTCTAGTTCTTCATGCATGGTAAAAAAATCAAAAGAAAAAAAAGTCCCTCATGCAACTTGGCAACATTAGGTAGTAGCTTTGCCATTACTACAAAACGTTAGTAGTTATTAGCTAATTATCATGTTAGGTAGAACATAATTGAATTTAGCTTTTCCCCCGACCCCATTTGATAGTCTATGGTGTCCTTTAGATCTCTCTTATGTGACCATAACCCTCAACCATATGGTCCATGTCCAAATACATTAGCATGAACATTGATGAGACCCGAGATCGATTCCAATTGGTCACTCAAACTCACATCGCGACTGCAAATCTCGAGATTAGTCTTAAGCGTTCTAATCAAGGCAATTTTTTCTCTTTTCTTGCTTGCTCCATTTTATAATCCTCCTTGGTTCTTTAAATCTGTTACACACTTAGTTTTAGATTCTAGTCATGAAGCTTTATTTACAGTAAACACGGGTTTGCCATTGAGAGGTAGAAGATTCCAGTAAGAACCATGTTGATCAATGCAACAGCTTAGCCATTTTATTTGATATGAACCAACTGGAAACCGCGAAACATCTAGCAAGCAGCTCGAAAACCCTTGTCCTCTCTCGTTTGGTTTGAACTGCACAACCGCACAAACACCAATCTTGTTCCATTCAAGTCGACCTGAAACTTCCGGCTCCTTACCAGACTTTACAGCATGATGAAACAGCTTGCTACTCATTTCTACCAGATTTTCATCTCTCCAAGGCGAATAAGACTTTTGGTTTCTGTTGTTTTCGCCGTGTTGAGTTGGGGTGTGATAAGCTAGTTTAGAATATAAGAGGCAGTACAGTTTGGTTAGTCGAATAGGGATTCGCGGTTGCTGTATGTTTTTCAACTGAAGGCAAAGATCTAGTGACAGTTGAAACCCTTGTTCCACTGAAATAATCTTGCTGCTGTCTGAACTAAGAGCAAATAGCTCGGCGCCAACACAAGGCCTGAAAATGTAGATCCAATGAAAACATATTAGCTGAGAAAAAAATACGTATAGAATCAGTTATGGTTGAAATCGAAGTGTTCACAACTTTCATAATACCTTATGTTGAAGAAATACTTTGGAATGCCAAAAGGAATCTGCATCCATTTCATAATTGCATGTGAAAGTAGATTCCTGCAACTTTGAGTAATCTCGGAGACAATCTCCTCGTCATGCATTGAATTTGACCGATTCTGCAACCCATCAATGCATGAAAGAGCATCTCTGCAAATAGAGAGCAGCCTCTTCACTTTGCCACATGCTCTCAACACCTGATTCTTAGGTTGCAGGTGGAAACAAGTTAACGATTCGTTTGTCTTAACGAGTATGTTGAGCTTTTCGCAGATTTCAGGGTCCACTTCCCACAGCCGTCGAACTAAATCTTGTACAAGCCTCGAGCATACACCACTTTGTGAAGTGAAAGGAACCAAAGCTTCATGAAAAGAAAAACCTGGAAGGAAAAGAACAATTCCAGCAGCAAAAGCCAGAACCGAACAGCTCAGTGAAAGTGTTGCGATAATGCTACAACTATCATCGTCTATGTCAATAAAACACGTCGCCAACATATCAAATTCCTTTGCCAACTTTTGAAGCTGAACAGAAATTTGAGGAAGCTGTTGCAGAGAATCGCAACCAACCAACATCTTTTCCTCCACCTGCTTCTTGTTGCAGATATCTTGGTTAAGTAGCCCGAGGCGTTCGACAAGATCAATCACAGTTTCCAGTACCCGAATCTTTAAAACCAAGAACCACGTTTGGAAACAGAACACTTCTCTTGATGCTATACTATTTCCCAACATTCCCAGAGACGATTGTAAATTCATATAAGCTTCATGAAGAGCTACGCTATGGGCAAACTCTTTAGATGCATCTTTGGTGAGCTCTGGTAAGTAATCGCTACTTTTCAACCAACTCACTAACTTGAAATTATCACTTGGCATGAGAAGCAGTTGGAATTTCCCTTCAGCATGAGATAAATAGGATAATGACTTTAACCAAAAACAGTTGATATCAGACTGGACATTGGTTTTCAGCTGGTCAAAAATCAAAGCAGATGTGACCCATGCACCCAAACGTGCTGCGTAAACCCCAGCTCTGTAAGCAGGCCAGTAGTTTTTCTCCATTAAAATTTTATTCGAACATTCAAGAGAAACAATTCCATAGTTACATATATCAGCAACAAGTGAGACGGCTGAATTCCGGTTTGCATCATTATCGGTCCCTCTCTCATTCACCGCAGAACCCCAAAGAATGGGAGCATGTAATAGCAGAGTAAATATCATTTGTGTGTGGCAATCAAAGAAGCTGCATGAGCGTACACATTCAGTGATATGCTTCACTTTTTCATAAACTTGAGACGAAAGAAAACCATCGCCCTCGAGATTCTTCAAAAACATTAGCAGGAACTTGTGAATTGATGCTAGAATCTCTGACCTCACGACCGTCCCTCTTTGCCCCTTGTAACTGATAACACCAAGCAGCAATTCATGAGCTCCATCTGTTTTTCTTAAGACATTAGTCAGGTTCACAATATACTCTACGAATAACCTGACTTTGTCAAGCACTAACAGCCTCATCTCAGAATGTTGTCCAACTACTTTGTGGAGAACATTGAAGAGGTCTTTAACCTCACCAACTAGTGCATAGTCAGCCTGAAAAGGATCACAACATAACTTTCCCAGCAAGGTGACCCTGTCCATGATTAATACAACGAGCTGTAGCGGCAGAGATGTAGAAGAAACCTCAACTGATCTTATTTTTGCTGCCCGGACTACTTGTTTCCATATATCCACCAAAATACTGATAGCTAAAAAACAACTTGAGAAGATCTGAGAATGAGATGCATTCTCAACAATTGCTATGAGCTTATGTAATTCAGATGCATCAGCCACACATAGTTTGTAGACAAGTATCTGCATTTTCATCAAAGATACGTAAGCATCTTAAACTTGATACAAAACAAATAAAATAATCTGGCGTGTTAGTCACCTTTTGAAAAATTTGAAGAGCATTAAGCTGCATATCTGGTGAGAGCTCTGCTTGATTTAGGAAGCTAGAAAAAATTGCAGTTTCACTTTCATGGACGAGAGAGAAGCACATCCCTCTTTTAATGAGAAAGTGGAGACATCTTAATGCCGCAGCTCGAACATGAGAGGTCTTATCTTCACCCAAAAATGGCATGATAACCTCTGCCTGCACCCACATTCAACAATATCAGACTTTTCTCTTTCAGTTTTCCTTTTCAAATAAAAAAAGGCTTAGTTTCCTTTACTAGAGAACCAAGCATAAGAAATACACTATATTCAATATCCATCAACGATCCAGCGAAGACTCAAAATCTCAGAAAAACAGTGTGAGGATTAGAAATATGAGAAGAAGACTATATAAGTACCTTGTTGATCTAATAAGAAAGTTTCATTTTTGAGCTTTTTATAACTAGAAAGTTAACTTTCACAAAGGCCAACATATTGAGCGTAAGGGATAGTTCGTGTGTAGGAAGAAAAAAAAAAGCGAAAAAAGAACATACCAGTTCAGAAGTAAGATGAGTAGATCTTGAGGCAAGCTTAGTCAGGGAAACCAGGAATGGAACCAAATTGTCCTCTTTTGAAGACTCCAGCATTAGCTTCATACAGATCTGCAATAAAAAAAATGGTTGACTGAAATCTAACACATTTGACTTCAATTAATGCATTGCTATGATAGTTCGTACACTGGCAGACTTCAATCAAAAGAATAGATACTCCAATCTACTACTACATTGAATATACGTCAAAATTGAGTTCCGGTTTCAGCAAGTCTTTCTTTACCACAAAATTCTTGACTGCGTACTAATACTATACATGAAAATCTTTGAGCATTAGAAGCATATGGAATGAGAATTGAACAAAGAACCTTGAATGCTCTATTAGCAATTGCATGTGAGCATCCCATTTTTGCAAAAACTCGCACAGCAGCTAACCTGGTCTTTGGCATTATTTCCGGGAACTTCACCATGTCATTTAACATCCCCAAAACAACCAATGCAAAGTCATCTGCTACTTCACAAAAGCAAGCTGCAGCAAACAGAGATGATCTTACCTGCAAGTAGAAAAACAGATTACAACATTTGAGCCTAATGAATCACAAACACTACTCGTGTTACATATCCCAAGCGGACAACATCGAAAAAAAGAGAGCTCAAATGATCTATGTTTACCTCGAGATCATGCGAAGAAGCCATACTGGTGAAAATCAAGTACCGTACTGGAGCAAATTCGCTAGCGAAATCTCTCCAACAACCAAACAGAATCAAAGCCAAAGCTTTTAACTCAGTATCACCCTTATCATAAACATTCTTCACACGTTTAAGAATTTCCAAGTGGTTATACACCCTAGCCTTTGGCAAAAACCAAGTCGCGCATTCGCTCTTGTTCTTCCCTTGGCTTAGCTTGAACATAGACATAAAAACCCGAACAACAGCAACCTTAACAAGCTTATCCGCAAAACAAAACGCATCAACAAGCCTCAGTAAGATAGTATTGTAAAAGAGCCTATCTTCTTCAGGAACCAAACCAAATAAACTGTAAACAGCAATTGCAGATTCTGGTTCTTTACTCCACTGCTCAAGCTTCTCACCAGTCTCTAAGATGACTTCAACGGCTCTAACTGAAATAATACCCCCAAAATAAAAATCAAAACTTTAACTTTCATAAATCGCAGCAGCAGCAACAACTCGAGCTGGAAGAAAAATCAAAACTTTGAAAGTGGTAAGGATTTTATGAACCTGGGTTTTTAGAGCGAAGGGCTTTCTCGAGCTTGATGCTCCAATCCATGGCGCAAGCTGCTGAAACTTTCTCCATTGTTAAACACTTAAAGCTCGGATTTTTCTATCAGCTCTAGGGGTTTCGAAGAAGAAA